AGAAATAGTTTACTGTTGTATATTCTTCATAATAAAAGGGTCATGTTATTGTGATAATTCTGCAGTACTAATGACTATGTACAACTTTGAAGCTCTCATAAAATCTTCCTGCAGTCCCTACAAATTCAGGTAGCATTCATGTTAACTGACCTGACTATAGAACAACCTGTTAGCAAAGCCCCTTCATTCACAGCAAATAGTGCAGAATGGATAAAAGAAATGTTTGGATGGTACTCACTCACCCACTCAGTCACATTTAGCATCACTCAAAGATGGTGGCCAATGTACTTATCTTGCAGGAATTGATATGCATGAAAAAGAAACATGTCACAGAAGTTATAAAGATACATCCTCAACGATTTTTATGTGACTTCAGCAAGTCAAGCATTATTCAGGGCTGCAGCCAGACTGCGTATTTGCAGGAATCCCGCTAATTGTACTTACTTTGGCGCTATATTAATAAAATATGCGTCAACAATGGCGCAGATTTATAATTTATGACCCATTTTATATATAATTTATATTTTGAATTTATTTCAAAATATGACTATTTTCATTGAAGGTCGGGGCAGTGGGGTAGCCTAGTGGTTAAAGCGTTCGCTTGTCACACTGAAGACCTGGGTTCGATTCCCCACATGGGTACAATGTGTGAAGCCCATTTCTGGTGTCCCCCGCCGTGATATTGCTGGAATATTGCTAAAAGCGGCGTAAAACCCAATTCACTCACTCACTCACTCATTGAAGGTCATTGTAAGCGATGTCAAACATTTGGAAATCAAAATCAAAATATTGAAGCTTCAAAACGAGGCTTCCTAAACTCTGCACATTGTTATTACGTCTATTTGCATACGAAACTGTGATATAAATCACTGTAAGGGGCTCGTGCTGCTGTATGTACAGAGTTTGACATACATACAATCTGTTTGGCTGTCAAAATGTCAAATAGAAGGATTACAGATATATTATTTATTGGCCCATATTTTCTGAAGGTAAATTAATTCACTTGGTCTTCAGTATTTGTGTGTTATCTTCATTCTGTGTGCTCTTTTGAAACTGGTAACATACATATGATTATATAAAGTAGCATGTCCCTTTTACTTCTTGCTGCATCTTTGACATTAACAGATTAAGCCCAGTAGCATTTTACCTGTTTCTTTGTTTACAGAGGCTTTTTTAAAAAAGAAATGATTTATAGGCAATCAGTTTCCTGAGATTTGTGTGGTTAGTTCAAATATATAAGCTAGCCAATGCTCTTGCTTATAGCCTTTGACCCGTGAAGATCCGGGTGTAGAATAGGTCTTCAGCAACCCATGCTTGTCACAAAAGGCGACTATGCTTGTCGTAAGAGGCGACTAACAGGATCGGTTGGTCAGGCTCGCTGACTTAGTTGACACATGTCATCGGTTCCCAATTGCGCAGATCGATGCTCATGCTGTTGATCACTGGATTGTCTGGTCCAGACTCGATTATTTACAGACCACCGCCATATAACTGGAATATTGCTGAATGCGGCGTAAAACTAAACTCACTCACTCACTCACTCGCTTATAGCCTTTGAAACGATGTATGTAACAAGGCCTAAATCATCAGATAAAAACTATATGTTCATTAATTGTACTCATATGTTGTTGAAGTTTGATGAAAAGATTTTAAGATATTGTTCTCTGAGCGTTTAAGTTTTTTAGGAACAACTATGGAGTGATTGGCTTAACAGCACCATTCTATACTTTTACCAAAGTGGTAATGCCAGTGATAAATATATAACGCTAAGTTAAATCCATCCCTCACCGAGAGGAAAATTATTGCCCGTAGTCATGTACAATACCAAATGATAATTGAACATGTTGCATCTTCCAGATCTGCAGTGTGACATGAGCTGCCTTCGGAAGTGGTTGACGGAGGTGGAGAAGAAGTTGCTGATCCAGACGGTGCGGCCAGAGTGGACCCGGGAACAGCTGCAGGAAAAGCTCAAGGAGCACCAGGTACTGTCAATTTGTCAACACTCTTACACCATGCAGTTGGCCAGGGGCCTTAATAGGTCATCAGTCTTGTAATACGGCTGTTGAAATAGGAAAAGAAATAAAGGGCCTCAGTGTCTGATCCTACTCTCATTACTTGAATCCTGAGTCCATACTTAAACTTACAAGCCTAGGATTGCTTGCCTAAGGCTTGGTAGACCTAATAACACCTGCATAAGGCTTATATTTTAGATGTTGGATAGGATACAGCAGAAATGTACCCTGTTCAAAATCTCTGAATGGCAAGTGACAATATTATGATATTAGAGGTTTGAAAATATGCTAGTTGTTTGATACTTTTCACAAAGGTTCAGGGGTCCATACCTTCCATCTTAGAAATGATGTGGACATTTTCCACACAGTGCACTGTAAGATCTTGATTTGTACCAACACCCCTCAAACTTCATCTTTGGCTTTTCACCGTGTCTTTTCGATCACTGATGTATAAGGGCAGGACGTCAATAATATGCTTCCCGGTGAAAGGAGGAGTTGGGGTAGCCTTGCGGTTAAGTGGCTGCTCATCATGAAGACCCAGATTCATTCCCCACATGGGTACAATATGTGAAGCCACTTCTGGTGTCTCCTCACCGTGATTTAGCTGGAATATTACTAAAAGTGGCTTAAAAGATTACTCACTCACATGGTTAAAAAACTTGTTTTATTGTTTGACACACATTGATTGCATGGTAGGTCATAAAAGCAAACCTAGGTTTATGTCTGCTTTCTTGTGGTGGAAACAAAGCTTGTGTGCTTTGACATGTCACATGATCTTTAGCCAGTGCAACAGTGTGTCCAACATAGTGTTACATTTTGTGGACACAGGAGCACTCGAGGGATTTTATGGAACTTCATTTTCATTAGTTTAAATTTTTGCTTTTATAACTGATTTAAGATGCTTTCACTTTTGCATTAAATGTGTGTCAGGTCATTTTTAAACTCATGATAACAAATAAAATGAAGAAATCTTCTGTTTCTCCACACAAATGAAATTGCCATCTTGACCATCATCCATATGTAAGGGAAATAACTCTTCTTGCATTATAGCATCTCTGCCAATGCTTGAGTTGTCATAATTGTACATCCTGAAGGTCAGTTCGAGAAATTTGAAGTCATTTGATTATTTACGATAAAAAATTAGAACTCATTAATGATTGTCTTCTTGCTGAAGGTTTCAAAGGAAATGCATAATCATTGTCACCTGATGTTTGCAGAATCAGGTGATCATCTGAAGTAGTTTTGATGGTTGTCCTGGCAACGGATCAACAGTGTTCTATTCATGCAACTTGCATGTTTTGTTGTCAGGCAATCATTATCTGCAGTGTCATGAGCAATATGGTGGTAGAAGAGGCCTCTGTGCCAATTTGTATATTGAACAGGTTCACTCGGGAATACATCTGGGTTGTCCTTCATTCCGCTCACGACACTTCATAATCAAAATAAAAGATCGGATTTACATTTGTTCTCTTTTGCTTTTGATTGTACATATTATATTGGATTTTTCTGTTTCCTTGCTTAATTTTGTAGCTTGAATAAATATAATTGGTTTTGTTTTCAAGTGTAAATTGTTACTCAATTTCGTTTTAGTTAGCTTTGAGGGTATATTTATCTTGAATCCCATGAATGCTAATAGATTTAATGAAATTTGTTTCTCACCATATTTGTGTACTGAAAGAAAGTACTCTTTGTTATGTGTAGTGTCAATTAGGAAATTCACTTCAGCTATTAGCTTTCTACTGGTAGTGCTGAAGATGATTTTATTTTGTTGATTACTTATCAAGAAATAATCTTGGAAGAAAGTAAATTACTTGTTCATCTTTAAGATCTTGACATTCTTTAACATTAAAGGACAAAACATATTAAGAAAGCCCAGCCAAGACATTCAGGAGTATTCAGTGTCCGACATTTAACCGAAATACCTTATTGTATACCTTTTAATGGAACATTCTTGAAGTATGATAACACATCACATTGAGTACTGTTGAGTGACCACAGCACGCAGTCACATAGCCGTGTCGAGCATGAGTACCTTCCAAACAGGGCGCAGAGGGGATGAATTGGAACAAAACAGAGTAAACCTGAAGTACGTCACTGTGAAGCGTGACAGTAAACAGCCCCATGGTGCTCTGTGAGATTGACAAAGGTGCCCTGGGGCACGTTCTCCTCTGGTGGTCTCTGATCAACACAGCACACAGACTAACTGTCCATCAGAGAAGTTTACACCCACACCCATTGTGATATTTACGACAGGTCAGTTTCAATACCCTCAGTGATATTTACGACAGGATAGTTTCTTTATCACATCTGGATTGCAGTTAATCACCAATCTGTATGCCTTGTAATGGTTATAATTTCTGCATGGTAGCTCTTATCTAGGTAAGATGAGCTGACTTAGTTATACTTTGGAGCCTCTGTAAGAGTTCAGTCGTAAAGGTTCAGACAAAGGGGAATAGCCTGTAAATGAAGTGAGTGTTTGGATATAGCCGTGTGTTTGTATGAGGCAAAATATGTCCTGTTTGCAATTGTAGAAATATATAGGTAGCCCTGTGGGTGAAGTGTTTGCCTGTCAAGCTGAAGCTCATGGTTGGATTCACCAAGTGGATATAATGTGGTATATATATTTTCTCAGATCTAAGGAATTTTTAAACTAATTTCAGATCTTGACCTGAGGATAGTTCATTCAGTATTCACAGTATTCACAGATGGTACATATGTCTCAATGATTTACCTACCTCTCTTTCATCCTTTTCCTATCAAAGTAGTGTTTTGTCATCAGTAAACAACTCATTATTTATAAGATTGTTAATTTATGTATTAGTCATCAGGCCTAGCTTTTCGAACCAGCTAAGATTTGATGTTAATGTATGGCACTTACAAACTATCTTAAGCTAAGAGCGAGCTTCGAAAATCTAGGCCCAGGTCTTTTAACCATTTTGAGCATGTACACCTTTTCAGCCATTAAGATCCCCGAATATATAAATGTATTGTAGTAATCCTTGAACATTGTTTTGTCATGGTAAACAATAATACAAATGTATGCATATTGTTATAGCCTGATAAATATTGTCAGTCTGCTCAAAGAATATTATACAATGGCCCACATGTGATTTGACTTCAGAATGTTGTCCATTTTAAATTTTGCTGATGATTTTTCTACAGCCAGGGGCTTTTGGGACCATATGTTTAAATATGATCTTGATATGTCCTCAAGTTGGAAGGCAGGTATTTCCTGCTGTCAAGTGTTTATATTTGTAAAGATGAGGTCAAAATCATTATAAACAAATATTAATGTTGATCATTTTGAAAAAAAATTGAATGTAAAAATTATTAAGTCAACAGAAAATATGAAACTTTTGAAGGTAAATAGTGATATCAATAAGAGGGATTTGTTCTGCTTGGTATTTAGATTTGTAGCAAACAGAAGGAGGAAATGTGACTGTTTAATGTGGATGTTACATCGTCATGACGATCTTCAAACCACTATGACATCAGCAGGCCAAGCCCCATGCTGGATGACCCAATATTTGGTGTGGTGGAGCAAATAATGATTTACTCCCATTTTATGTCCGCGACAAAATTCTCCTTGCCTTGACTTTGGAATAGATTGACACCATCAAGTCAACTGCTCTGGTTAAGTTATGGATGTTGTTGTGAAGTGATGGATCAACATTTACAGAAAGTGGGAACATCATATAAAGGCATGTTCCTTTGAAGCACAGAAGGGTCAGATAAAATATGTGAATGTCTCACCGATCTGAATAAACAACACGATTAAATATGGCAGGCAGATGTGAAGAGAGCATTTTGTCTTTATTATTTTCACATTGCTGGACTGTTTCACCATGGCCACTTGCTTCTCGTTGTCGTAACAAAAAAATGCCTGTACTTGACGCCGCAGCCCGAATATCTTGACCAGGTGTTTGCAAAATATTTCAGGACAGAAGGGCACTGTTCTGGATACATGTTCCTAGTTGTTCAGATCGTAAAGCCAATCACTCAAGTGTGACGCTATGTGGATATTTAAGTAAGGTGTAGTGGCCTCTTTGTCTGCATCTTACGACAAAGTCGGGTATTAGGTTTTATGATGTCAGGTATTGGTAATCTCCATACAGATTCTGTAATCTGATTACATGGGATTATTGGTTGGTTGTTCAAATCCATTATTCAGTCATTACAAATTGGCAACTCATTGCTGACTGAAAATGTTTACAGCAGTAAGTACATGTATTGTACGTTTGAACTGACTTGATGCAAATAGTTCACATATGGTATTGGTCCAGTTGGGTTGGATTAATGTTGTCAGATTTTTGAAGATGGAGGATGTGAGCCTTCAGAGTGGGAGAAGAGCAACATGATAGTTCTGCAAGGCTGTTGGGTAGCGGCTTCTCTCTGACACAGACTGGTGGGTGAAGGTAAGGCTTCTCTCTGACACAGACTCTGGTGGGTGAAGGTAGCGGGCTTCTCTCTGACACAGACTCTGGTGGGTGAAGGTAGCAGGCTTCTCTCTGACACAGACTCTGGTGGGTGAAGGTAGCGGGGCTTCTCTCTGACACAGACCTTGGTGGGTGAAGGTGACACAGCGGGCTTCTCTCTGACACAGACTCTGGTGGGTGAAGGTAGCAGGCTTCTCTCTGACACAGACTCTGGTGGGTGAAGGTAGCTGGTGGGTGAGGCAGGCTTCTCTCTGACACAGACTCTGGTGGGTGAAGGTAGCGAGGCTTCTCTCTGACACAGACTCTGGTGGGTGAAGGTAGCAAGGCTTCTCTCTGACACAGACACTGGTGGGTGACACAGAGAAGGTAGCGAGGCTTCTCTCTGACACAGACTCTGGTGGGTGAAGGTAGCGAGGCTTCTCTCTGACACAGACTCTGGTGGGTGAAGGTAGCGAGGCTTCTCTCTGACACAGACTCTGGTGGGTGAAGGTAGCGAGGCTTCTCTCTGACACAGACTCTGGTGGGTGAAGGTAGCGAGGCTTCTCTGACACAGACTCTGACACAGACTCTGGTGGGTGAAGGTAGCGAGGCTTTCTCTCTCTGGTGGGTGAAGGTGACACAGACTCTGGTGGGTGCAGATAGCAAGGCTTCTCTCTGACACAGACACTGGTGGGTGAAGATAGCGGGGCTTCTCTCTGACACTGTCGGATGTAGGAGTGAGGCGTCTCCTGTGTGACTATACCATCTGTGGAGATACTGCCAGTTCAGACAGTGTTGGGTGAAGAGTGTGAAGCTTTTTCTGTGTGACACACACAGTGTGTGACCATACCATCTGTGGAGAGCTATTGCCAGATTGGTTGTGACAATGTTCGAGGCTTGAGGATTTACCTGAAGGCTGCTGGGACAGATACAGGTAACTGTGTAAGTATATGCCAGTGTTGGAAGAAACAGTCATGTTTGAACTAATTGACTCATACTCTTGCTCCTTTGATTTTTACTCTGTATTTCATAATCACAAACACAAGTTATGTTACATGGACATGGACCCAGACGCTAAAATTAGATTGATACCATTCAGATTGGGATTTAATTGTAGTTGAATATATGGCACTTGTATATATTGCAGTATATATGCTTCTGTAATTATTATAAAATTTGTACTGTTTGAGTTGATATAGGATTTATGGCAATAATACCTCTTCTTACAGTATGTGTTGTGTTAGGTGTGTAAAAACACACAGTTCATGCCAGTTCGCAATTAAAGCCTCCCATTCTTTCAAACGTCACACAGTCAGTATGTGATGTCTCATGTGGTTGTCAAGTGTACATGAACTGCAGGTAATGACGTAATGTTCTGTTTAAAAACTGGTTTTGTATTTGCTCGGTACATCACTTGTGTGCATAAGGTAATTGTGTCGCTTGTTTGTTTCTCCCAAATTACCCCAGTATACACATCTACATGGTTGAAAGTATTTTGTGAATTTTTTAGCTTTCATGTCGCAGAGACATGTGTTGTTACCTGGGTGGTTGCTAGCAGACGTGACGCGGTTATCGCCATCTTTGTCAACATTCCTTATCTTAAGAGCAGGAAATTATATTTTGGTACAAGGTCGAGATGACCTCGTCAATTCTACCTGTTTCTGATTAAATATACAGGATCATAATAACGGCATTATGATGTCAAATATCATGCACGTTTTTGCACAGGTGGTGAAAAATTCATGATCTCTTTCCTGGAGTTGACACTAGTGGAACCTGAGTTAAAGAGAGAGTACCCTTGACAACGCTTTGTTGATATTTTTTTAGTGATATGAATATTTAAGATAGATCTGTTTATGTCGAATTTTTTATTTGGCCAGATGTTCCTGAATTCAGTATTGCAGTCTAATATTATCTGAAAGTTGAATCATTATTTAAGATATTTCCTGTTCAAGAATGATGGTGCATGGAAATCAATATAAAAAGCCAATGAAAGGATGGCCTAGTATTGACTTCCTGCCTTCTGTGATTATTGTAATGAATATTGAAATATAAACACAGAGATTGTTGGTAGGACAGCCGGGTTTAACCTTGACCTATAAAGCTGGGGATCCAGAGGACCCTCTGGTGATAATTTCAAGTGTCTAGTAGAGCGGTGAAATAGTGTAGTGTACTGAAATATGAGTTTGAAACAGGAACTATAGGGTTTTATGGAGAATGAGGTACAAAGATTATTATTGTGCATCATTGGGTTGCAATATATGTTTTTCTGCGTCCATTCTCATGGTACTGGGCACACATTTCTGTGTCCATAAACCCTGGTGTTATCAGATCATGCCTTCACTAACACAAAATACTGCCGCATCATACATCCGATTTATATTCAGTTTAACCTGACTCCTCCAACTTGTTAGTTCTCCACCCACCCCTGCCAGCCCCCAGTATTAAATATAACCTCAGCTGGATATCACTGGCTGTTGTGTGTCCCTTGATTACAGGAAGGGATACCTTCTAGAGATATTAGTGAGATAAAGATTATAGACCCAGATTACCTACGCTATATTCACAAAGTCAAACCTTATAGAAAAAACTTTATGGATAACAACTTCTTTTTATTCGTGAGTGCGACGTTTCGATAAAGATTCTTGTACCGTTGTCAAGCAATGATACAAGAATCTGTATCGAAACGTCACACTCACGAATAAAAAGAAGTTGTTATCCATAAAGTTTGTTCTATATTGTACTTCCCTACTTCTAAAATGTCACTCAAAGAAGTTAAAGTCAAACCTATCTTTTATTTTTGTCTTGGTGTTTATCTTATAATGGCCTAACTGTCAACACCTAACTGTTTCTTTCCTCTATGTGTGTGTGTTTGTCAATTTTTCACAAATTACCGTTTGAAATGTAAGTGATAAGACATTCAAAGGGTAACAGAAAATGTGATTCAATGAATCCTCTGCTGACTTGATTCTCTGAAAGTCATTTGAGATTATTTTTGAGCCACCACATGATAATTTTTGAAGATAAGTTGTATTTAAAAAAGGCTTTGTTGGTTGGTATGCAAACTATGCCAGAGGACAAAGAAGCTTTGCATCACAGAATAATAGCCTTTCCCTATATTATTGGTACCTAATGAAGCTTGAAACATGAGTCCAGCTCAGCGAGGCAACACACCCAAAACCAGTCAACTGTGGCCACTTCTAGTGGCAACCTAATCTGCAGTATTTCTAACGGTTCTGTGTTCTGTACAACTTATTATCAATGTGTTCTTGTCGGTATTGACTGTTGATGGACATTGATAATGTCCAAAGTATACAAAATATCAAGCCTCCTTGACATGTTTATGGGCCCACCAAGCTCACCTTGATGCATGACATGGGCTCTACCTTCAACCTGTCTCCTGTGAGGAAATGACTGCTTGATTTATTCCCATGTGATTTATATTCCCGTAGATTTAAAATAGACCCTGCTCTGGTCAGGACAGAAAGCAGCCTTTAGGTACAAGTGTTTTCAATGTAGCAAGAATAATGGACAACAAAATAACAATCAGCTTTGATGTGGTGTTAATCACAGTACAAAGTGAGATGTCAGTACAAAGTGGGGTTGTTACGATTCACTCGTGTGTATTCAGTGAATCAAACCGTATCCCTTCATGAATTCAAATCATTATTCGTGATCACTAGAATTGAATATTCATGAAAAAAATTAACAGAAAATGTTTTTAATTGAATTTGGGTGTTATCTATCAAAGAGATGTGCAAAATGGAAAATTACAAGCCAGGTGGGATAATTGTCAACACTCTGTGCTGTGTTTCTCCTGAGTATGTGAGTGAGTTTAGTTTTAGGCCACTTTTAACATTATTTCAGCAATGTCACAGTGGGAGACACTAGAAATGTGGCTTCCCATTGTAACCATGTGGGGAATCGAACCTGGGTCTTTAGCGTGATGAGCAAACGCTTTAACCACTAGGCTACCTAACCACCCAGGTTTCCTCCTTAATGGATCCAATAAGGGATAATTTAACTGAGCGTCTTTTCAAACCAGCATCAAGTCCAACTGACTCAAGTATACATGTAGGTTATTTTCAGAATTAATTATTGAATTGCCTATCAGAGATATTCCTTTGATTGGTTTTACCAAAGCAATGTGTTTGCATCAGCTGCCGAGTTTCCAACGATTGAGCTGCATTGTGTAGGTTCCAGTGTCAAGCACCTGTTGCCATCCACCCTGTTTAGTCAGGGTGAGGCACGCAATGTTGAACAGTGTGTCAATATACAGTCATTCCCTCACATCATTGTTGCAAAACACCTGTCACTGACATGGGTGACCTGTGAGTCTGAGTGCAGCCATGTTTGGTCATCCTGCAGCCAGGTATAGATTGGTGTTGCCAAGGCAAACAGGTGTAAATGTACACAGGTGAATTATCATATATCAAATGGGTCTTTTGTGTTGTTTAGTTTTCAGTTTTATATATACATAAAATGAAGTTTGAAAAGCCCCACATGCTTCTATATATGTCCAAGTCCATTTTGCTATTTGGGTCAAGCATCAATTTAGTTGCTGCTAAGGGTAAAACTAGTGAGCATGGAAATTTGATTCAGTTATCGGGGGTGCAGTTGTGTACGGTCCCACAAATCATTGTGCCGTGTTTCACCCCTTGGGAAAACACAGAAACATTTATTTGGAATGTTATTTCACCATGATGATGTCTAGGTTTGTGAGCACCATACCCATGCTTGTGGGTTTCTCCAAAGTGGTAAATATCTGAGATCACTTTGGGCTTTCCTATCAACTCACTCACTAAAATTAATGATTATTTTGGGTAAATCTCATCATCTCGGAAGGACATCATCTGTGGTTCAGAAATACACAATGCCATTTGAATCCTGGATGGGACTCAACCCAAAAAGTACTAGAATCTGTACTTTACTAAGAAAGTGTAATCCCAAATATAACATGTTACATCTGTGGTTCAGGACAAGTAAGTGTCAAAATGAGATGTGACAGTTGGCAGGTATAGGTCAGGATTACAAACTCAGTTCAATACTAATGTTTCAGTTGATTAAGTTTCACAATGTAATATAGATGTTCAAATCAGAAGAGGCATGTTTTCTTTAAGAAGTTGTCTCCCTTGAATATACCTGCCCAGAGTCACTGAGTGCAGTGTGATTGATTAGTGAAGGTGATTAGCAGATTGCAATTAGACGTAGATTCCCGTGACCTCAACTGACCAGTGATCATACACAATGTGCAGCATTTCCCCTGACTGACCCTGGATCTATCATTAGTGTGGATACTGTGGACTCCAATAATGATAGATGGATGGCTGAAGGTTATAAACAAAGGCAGGTTGAGGACATTCTGTTTGTAAACACAGCTCGGAGTATTGATTCCCTGGTTTGACCTCAGGTGCTCTGGAGTGAAATCTCTCAAAGTCATGTACAGCACATTTTGAGTCTACTTTTTCAGGCAGTAAAGGATGCTGTAGAATATTTCAATCTGAGTTTGTTTGCTGTTTAAATTGTATAATGGAGAAATCGGGAGAATATGTTTATTCCGCTCTCTGAGTTAAC